AAAGTGCTAACTGACTTGTAGCGAAGGCATTATTAATTGTGAAAGTTTTCTCTGGGTGTGAAATGGGCGAGATCTTGAAACTTAAAGAACCTTGAATGCTTTCAACTTCTTGACAGACAGTTCTGAGTGATATGTTTTCAGCTTTCCCAGTTAGGTGGAGATGCTGCGCAGCTGATGTCAGAAGCATGGTACATTGACAATGTCCTCACTACAGGATTAACTTCAGTTCTAGGTCTCTGATTTACGTCACACAGGCTCTGTAGATGTCGTCCCATGCAGGTGGCAAAGTCTTTTCTCAGATCACACTTTGCAGCCTGATGAGTCCTAGCACAACCCCAACACCATTTGTTCCTCTTTATCCAGTTTATTCTCTCGTCCTTTGTTTTGTGAATAAACTCAGGATACTTGCTGATGTGGTGTTCAGGTGAACAGCAATATGCGCATGTTGCCTTAGTCGTTATGATGGGCTGTGCTGGCTGTATCGGATCATCAGATGTATTTGATGTAGAATTGTTGTGAGTGGAGATGAATACTTACGGGCACATGGCCGGGTGAAGGATGAAACAGCACGGTCCTTTCTTGGTTGACACTTGCACTCCATTTGCAACCAGGATGAGAACAAAGGTAAGGTATATGTCATTTCTCCTTGTTCCCTATAAACATGCCGTTTAAAGCGACTAGAATGCTCTGCAGGCAGCTTTTCAAGCAGGCGATCAACATGGGACCCACAATGTAGTTCTGTCCTTGATCACCCATGGTGCTAAGCAAACCAACTAGAGCTTGTACACGAAGAGCGAAGTTATCCAGAGTCCGACCATCGCCTGCTCTGATAGGAGGAAGCTCTAGTGTATTCCATAGTTCTTTCAATGCTAATTGTCTGGGTTTCCCGTAATGCTCATCGAGGGCTTTGATGGCTTGAGTATATGGGTCAGGAGCATAGGAAAAGGCAAGAGCTAATCGTTTAGCTTGGTATACTTTCAGATGATCGAGAAGGACATGATATTTGAAATGCTCTGTCACGTGAGGGTCAAGAAGGTTGGTAAGAGCCATCCGTAACATACTGTTTTGCATTTCATCTTCTCTGGTAAGGTCTGGGAAAGAAGGACCCTCAAGCTTATATACATGTGTTCTGGTAGTAACAGGGTGACTAGAACTAGCAGTAATGGGTACCGAAGGTTTCTGTGCATGCAAACCATAGATGTAGCTGGTTGCTGCTTTAAAGGCGGGCCTATCTCCCCCTACCACCACTTCCCCTGCCAGTGGCGGACTCCCTCAGACATCGGTGCGTTGGTGGTTCTTTGTGTCCGGGGATGGGCGTCCAGGTACACACCGGCTCACTCCTTGGCGGCCGCTTATCGGGGCCTGGAGCCTGGGGCTCGCTCGGGCCACTTCGGAGGTGGGGTGCCCCCGGCCTCTCGGCCTGGGGCTCGGTCACTCAGGCACGGCTGGCTGCCGGCGGAGCTCACGGGCGCGTCACTGCAACTCCCCCTGGCTTCTGCTCCGCGGCTGCTGAGTGAGCCCTCATCTGGGACTCTCCTCAGCTCTTTCTGGGACAGTGGCGCGGCTGCCCCTCTGTTGGTCTTCCTTGGTCTCTTGTGTTCTGGGGGCCTCTGGATGTCTGGAGTTTTGATCTCCTCCATACCTGCTTCATGCCCTGGAGGACGGGGCTGTGGCCCCCCCACACCCTCTAGCAGATCATTACATGAAGGAACCTTTTAAAAAACAAAAACAAGCGCGTCCATGCTCACAGGTGTACACACGGGTGATCACACCCACAAACTACACCCTTTTTGGCTCCTACCTCAAAGCACACTGTGTTCTGTTGATCTTATGTGCTGCACAATAATGTTTAATATTTAGTATTTACTGTCATATTCCCATATATCATTGTGATGTTGTTTATTCTATTACTCTTGTTCTCTTCTGCTTGTTTTCTTTTTTCTTTCTCAGCAGGTGACCCAGGTGATTGATATATGCATTTTTTTCTTCTTTTTTTTTTTTTCTGCTCATTCTGTTGGTTTTTGGTTTTTGCCCTTCTCCCCCGTCCCTCTTCTCAGCTGTTTCTCTTTCCCTCTTTCTTTCTCCCCTTCTTTCCCCCAGTCAAGTCTGTCCCTATTCAGTAAGTGAAAATAAAATAAACAATAAAAAAAAAAAGGCGGGTGCTGCTTTTATTCTGGAATGCAAATGAAAGGTTCATCTAATGGAACAGCAGGTTGAACACAGGGGATCTGGTAAGGATCCTGCAGCGGTGTGGCTGGGAAGTTAAAGGGAGTGTCATCTTGTGTAGGAAAAACTGGTCTAGGCAAACCACTTGAAGGAACTGCAGCATCTAATATTGATGAATTCTATGAAGGAGGGCTGGCAGCAGGAACTGTACCAGAATGACGACTGATCTGTGGGAGCTGAGAGGGTGATTTACAGGTTGCTGAATCAATCACTGGGAACTGCTCATGTTGCAGATGCGTTTGAGGAATGGAGGATTTGATTTCATCAGATGAGACAGTGCAAATTAAGGGAGGAGATAAATGAATCATGAATTGCCTAATCTTCCTCATCGTAATCAGGAGTTCCTCATCACCTCATCTTGATTGGTGGGTAAAGGAGCAGGGTGTGTCTTGTGGGATTATAATATTATTTTATGCCATGTTAGACCCCTAATTAAAGATTGTGAATTATTATGTAGTTTTAGTTTGCATTATTCTCCTGAATTAGAATGTCACGGTTTGCCGGGGCAAGCCGTGTGGAGTTGGAGAAAGGACCCAAAAGGCGGCAACTCTGGTGCAGGTGAGTATTTATTTACAGGAGTGGGTACAAACAGCAATGGTGGGTGAACATGAAACCGGAAACCTAAACTGGGGAAACTAACAACACAAACCAGAAACGAAGATACGGGGAGGTCCGAGGAAATACATACGGGGAGACGAGGGGAAACAACACAGACGAACCAGCCACTACTATGACAGAAGACACAACTTAAATACACTCAGAGAACACAGGGAGATTACACACAGGTGGGGAACACAGCTGGGAGTGATTAACGTGACGAGACTAGGGAGGCAACTGAAAACACTCACATAAGACGCAGACCTTCACAATAAAACAGGAACTTACACATGAAAGGACACAACTAAGAAACGCGGACTAGATACAGGAACACACGGGCAGAACAGAATAAACACTAAACAGAGGAAGAACAGAACCAAAATCACAAGAAGAGAAAACACAAAACGTTGGGTCAAAAGGACCCAGGATCATGACATAGAAGAAGGTGATAACTATTACATTTGTTAAACGGATTTGCATTACGTTAGACTGCTGATTTATTGTGAATGAATGATATTGTTTTATGACGCATTATACTGCTGAGTTATAAGAAATACTGTTCGCAGAAAGTCATCGCCTTATTTGTCTGATTAGAAGAGAACAGAACATACTGGAGAGGTTTTCTGCCCTATCTCAGCAGGAGCAGATAAACAGGGAGCCAAGGTCGTAGCTTAGGCGCCGAGTGAGAGAAAGAATGTGAATGTTTAGGCTTTTATGATAAGGTGGGGGCCACTAGAGGCTATAAGAGTTTGATCAATGCTCCACCATTTTGAGATCTGATGCTGTCTGCGTACGGTGTCCATCTCCCACGCGTGTGATCATTAAAATCATCGTTTGACTCAACCCTGCCGGACAACTGTTGTTATTTTGGTTTTTCCTCTTGTATCCATCCCCAATATTTGAATCCGTAACAGTCTCTGTCTGGATATCTGCCTGTCCGTCAGGATCCTGCAGGCCATGTGTGTCTGTGTCAATATGCTGGCGTTCAGTTTGACACCCTGTCTCACATCTAGCACTTCTAGCTCCAGGATACTGAACTTCATACTGTTGTAGGTAGGCAGGGGGTTGCTGTTCACAACCAGAACATCTTAAATCTTCAGTTAATGGAAGCAAGATGCATCTGGTGAAGTGATTGTGCTGAAAGGTGAGTCTTTACAACACTAATAATAAAGAACCATGTCTGGACATGGTATTTAAAATTGACAAGAAACTGTACACACACTAGTGTACAGTGCGTGTACAATTTTGTTCAGTTTTATTTTTCAAGACTTGGTAAATTGACTTTCTTTATAATTTGGCCTGCCCTTTTTATTTTTTTATTTTTTATTTTTGTTTTGGCAATAGTGAGTAATTTTGGGTTCGAAAATATTTGATATAGTATAATTAAGGTAAATGTTGTTATTAGTTGTTATAATCTGATAAGGAATATTTTATGTCATTTTTTTGTTGTTTTATTTTTCAGTTTACCCACTGAGAAAAAAATAATTACCAATAAATACCATCTTACTGTTCAGTGCGATTTATTCCAATTTTTTGCAGGACTGTTGCATATTATTATCATCATCATTATTATTATTATTATTATTATTATTATTATTATGGGATTGTGTGTGTATGTGTGGAGGGGGGATTAATCACCATTTTATCATCATCAGCCTTTGATGGAAACTCACACGGATCGTTTCATGTTCATGTTTCACGTTTCATGAATTTCGTGATCCGCAAATATTTACTTAACTTAAGGCCACCTACACACTCTAAAGCAGGGAGCCAAGCTTAAAGGATAAGCTTGATAAGACGCCTACGAACTGGGATTTTAGGTTTTGTTTAGCAAGTTAATCCAAAGAAAGCTTGGCAGTTTTGAACTTAATTTGCCCCCCAGATAACTGGAACACTCCTGTTATGCTGAACTGACTGTGTACAGCACCTGGAAACAGGCACGTGCAGAGGGGGGGGGGGGGCTAGAGGGGCTTGAGCACCCGCCCCTTTCCTGATGGGTTCCCAAAGTGCCCTTTTGTTGAGGCAACTTTTTAAAAAACCTATTAGTATTATTATTATTTAATGTGTGTGTGCGTGCGGAGTCCTGTCTGTGCCCCTCAACAATAATATTTAACTATTAATCACAGTTTTGCTAAATAAAAGGATCTGGCTTGCATCAGTCACATGATCACATTTAACCAATGATCGCCCTTGACGGCAGAACCAGTAAGTAGGTGTACAGCGTACACTGTAGTGTATGGCACTCAGGAGTATTAGCTTATTACGTACACGTTGGTAAGCTTTTTTTCAAACTTTATTTGAAATTATAAGCGAACAGTCAGACATTCCAGTTCAGTTCTCTTCACTTTAGCTCCTAAGAAGATTCGTGTTGAGTTTTGACGTGAGACGATATGAACGGAAAAATAAGCCTTCTCCTTCTTTTTCTCGTCTTCCTTACATCGACACCAGGTAAGACCTCTTCATGTTTTATGGGTGATTTTTTTTTATTTAGAACATAAATCTACAGTTCATAATCTAAAAAAACATTGCTCTTTTACATTTACAGTGAAACTTATTATTAAACACTGTTGGAAATGTCGAGTTTAAACTGAGTGGTTAACGGTGTTTTGAGCGTGAACAATAAAAACAAAAAAAAAAAGACCAAAATATGTTTATTCAAAAAATGAATTTGCAGTGTTGTTAAAGTATACCAAGCTGCTAAAAATACACGCACAATATTAGGCACATGAGCTTGTGTCAATACTCATTCGCCTGGTTCCTTAGAGCCTGTGAGTAATATAAATGTGATGCTGACAAGTGATGAGATTATTACATTAAAAAGTTATTTTTAAGCAATACTGGTGGAAGATAAGTGACTGACATTCCAAAGCTAACATCTATAAAAAAAATTAATTCAATCAGAACATCTCCTTCCAACTGACTTTTATCAATTACAAACAAAACAGTTTACAAAACTGATGAAAGTCTGTTGGAATGAAATGTGATTCAATAAAATGGTGACAAGCAAGACAGTTCGGGGAAGTTGTATTTTTCCCTCATAGGCACCTGTTGTTTCTTCAGGTGTGCAGAGATTTTATTTTAAGGCAGTTTAAAGAAAGCTAAATACAGGCAATGTAAGGCATTTTCATCCTCAGTTTCGTTTTTACTTTGTTCCTCTCATTTCTTTCATTATGTGTGACTAAATTATTTTAGTCCCTTTACCCTCCCCTTACAAAACATTGCCCCTGCAGTGCCCCCACTTTATCCAAGCACTGCTCTTTGTGTTATGGTTTCATTATTATTCAAATGCGTATCTGACTTCCAGTAAGTTCAGTCTGTTATTTATTAATTCTGCTTCCTAACACCGTGTTTAACAATGTTATCAGTGACATCACGACCTGACCCAGCAGCAGTGTTGCTGGGTCAGGTCTGTTTGGTTGTTTGGTTGTTATTGATCCCTTTACCCCTAGTCCTAAAGTGTATATTTATTTTCTTACTCTTATATATATTGTTTGTTTACTTGCACTGCTGTAAAAGGAGCCTCGTCGTCTCGTCTCTCTATATACTGGAATGTATATAGAGAGATGACAATAAAGTTTACTTTGACTTCAGCAGCGAGCAGGCGCACACTTTTCGCGTATAGAATTTCGATAAAGCATTGGTGCAGATTATAAGTCTGTATTATAATGTCTGGTGTTTTCGTGTTTGTTGTTTTGTTTTATTTTGCGAGTTGGTTATTAGATGCCGCTCCAGCCACCAGTAAATCCCCCGCCGCCCCGCCCTCTCCTCCCTGTGCCGCAAGCAGCAGGTGCACCTCGCAAACGGAGGGCGCCCTTACTCCCAGGAAATGGGTGATAGAAAACCGATCGGTGCCTGTACCATTCCCAATATGCGCTGGCTGATGTCGGGGCAGCATGAGTACGAGCAATTTTTTATTTTATTTTGCCGATGCCCGTGATGCCGATGTACTGGCAAAAATTTACCAGGACATTTTCAATTTTTCTATGGAATTTTTTTTTTACAGTGTAAGTCTACAGCTGCCTCAAGCATTCATGGTCCTGCAAATGTGTCCATCAGTGTACATGTGTACATTTGTTTTGTTTTGTATTCCAGTTTAGTTCTTTCTGGTGTCCAGCAATAAAGCTGCCCTTTTGAGTTTGTTTCATTTCCGTGTCTGAGTCTGCATTTCGGTCCTTTCCTGTCTGCCTGCACACAGATTATGACAGTTATGCGCCTCATAAGCCTTTTAAAACCCCAGAATGGCAGCCATTGCCTGAAGGAGCGCAGTATTCATCAAATTCCTTTTAGGTAGCAAGAGCAGGCGCCAACTGGAAGAAGCGTGGAGAGAATTCACAGAGCAGAACCTTCAAAATAGGACAGCACACAATAACCCTTTACATTATCTTTTACATTATTAGGGGAATCTAAAACATTCTTACATTAAACGTCATACTTATTTCTCTAATTCTGATTCTTTAGGGAGCCCCTCATTAATTCCTCTGTCTGCAACAAGTTATTATAGCCCCTGCACCAACCCC